TAGTTAGATCTCAAAAACATCTACATCTGGAATAGCAATTTTTGGGTCTTTAAATTTGTCCAAATTCACATTTCCCTATTCCCACCTGTCAGTGTACTCCCTTTTAATCTTCTTCACACTCTCCAGCTGGACAAGGTGGTGTTTGAAATTTGCCTGGTACGAATTCGCCTTTGTACTCCCGTACCTGCTCCGGACGGAAAAAACAGGAGACGAATCCAAGTCATGTAGTTTGAAGTATTTGGATCAAATAAAACTGTTCATTGCTAAAGACATAGTTTTGCCTTGCTGTCCCCTGACAGGTAGAACAAAAGAGAACCAGTTCTTCACATCTCTTCAAGCTCTTATTTACACATCGCAGAATACTGCTTAAAGGTTATTGTTCTCCAATTTATAGTGTTCAGTAAAGGGCTTGTCCAAATAGGGAAGTTTGGACAATGGTTATGACAACTCTGGGAAGGAAAAAGGACTATATGAAAAAGAAAATAGCAAGCATGACCACAGTTATTTTCCCATCTAAACTTAGTTTAAAAGAATATAAGCCTTTTTAAAGAGATCCACAAACTTAAACAAAACAGCCAAAAAAACCCCTACACACCAAGACCTGCATTATCCATATCAGAAAACCAATGTAGCAGTTGTGAATATACAATGGGTTTCTCCAGGAGAAACCTTAAAATCCCCCACTAAGGTGTTCCAAAACGTCTATTTAAGACTACCTGTAACATTTGAACATCATGGGCATTTTGAATGTTTCAAAGCCATGTTCTTTGTTGTCCAGATTTTAAAGGTTAAAACTTTTAGGCAATAATGGTTCCTTAAAATAACTTCGCAAATAGCTGTACTGGGTCTGGCTGGGATGGAGTTCATTTCCTCCACAGCACCCCACGTAGTTGTGTTTTGGGTTTGTGGCTAAAACAGTGTTGTAACACACCAGTGTTCTGGCTAACGCCGAGCGGTGCTCACACAGCACAGAGGCTTCGTTTTTCATTGCCACCTCCTCTTTTTCCCCCTACTCTGCCCAACTGTGCAGTGACTAGGCTGGGGGTGGGTCAAGAAGCTGAGAGGGGACACAGCCAGGACAGATGCCCCCAGCTGACCAAAGGGATATTCCGTATGGGAGCATGCTCAGCAACAAAAGCTCGGGGAAAGGAGGAGGAAGGAAGGACATTTGGGGTTATGGTGTTTGCCTTCCCGTTGTAAACACCTGCCTGTGGATAGGAAATGAATTCCTTATTTTGCTTTGCTGTGCACACGCCTTTGCTTCCCCTATTGAACTGTCTGTTCTGACCCATGAGTTTTCCTGCTTTTGTCCTTCCGATTCTCTCCACCATCCCACCAGGGGGAAGAGTGTATGAGCAACTGGGTGGGGGCTCACCTGCCGGCTGGGGTCAAACCACCACAACAGCCTAGGTTTTTAACTCGGTTACTTTAGTAGTCCAGTCAGACAAGAGTAATTCATTCACATACGGTGCTTCGCTTTCAGATACTCCAGTTTATTACAGACTTAACACAATAAAACATAGTATAAAAAAAAGTAGATTGCCAAGTTTTCACACCATGGAATGCCAATAGTTACAAAAATTGAAATCATACCATTGAAAATACATGAAAGCTTGTGGGAAAAATATGGGGAGATAGGGAGAAAACTTGTGGGAGATAGGGAAGGAGGAGAGAAAAGTATTATTAAGTCAGTTTAAAAAAGAGATACATGACCCAAGCTTTTTTTAATAGAAAATTTAACATCATTCTTTGAGTCAAACAATCCTGTTTAGAAACATATGTTCATAATGAAGTTAACTCCAGGTTTTGAACCTCTAAATAACAAGATCCTTTGTCCCAGTTAACTTACATGAAGATAGCTTCTGTGTCCTACAAGTCACTCCCAAATACCCCTTGACTTCAAGTGTTTATCATGCTTAAGTTGATAGATTGTTTGCTACACAGTTACAAGAACAACAGTTTACAATTCTTAAGTTACAAAAATAGGTATCACTCATTAGTATTTCTATACATATCTCAAGCTATTATATGCACACTCTGTACAGTGGATGTTAACAGTGGTTAAGTTTGCTTCCTTAAACAAAACAAAAAAAGAACTAAATCACTGACAGTCAGACCCAAAATATTCAGGCACCGTAATATACTTGCATGTCTGGCACTAAATATCCCTGCCCATACAAAGCAAAAGCAGTTTCAGTACCCAAAAGACACATGCATCCAGGTTGTAAGACCGTTACGATGGTTGGTGGAAGAGGACAGTATGAGGATCAGTATGTTACTGCCACCGAACAGTCTCACACTACGCTGCAGGGCCCGACACCAACTTTCATTGTACAGATTCCTTGCAGACAACCGTTCCTGTCCGACAGGCCTGCCTACAGGCAGAAGAGGAGGTTTACACGGCAAAAGCTGTAGGGCAGCAGAACAAACTACCCCAAGCTACCCCTCTGGTAATGACCAGAATTCCCCGGCTAAAGGTAAAATAGGAAGGTGACTTCTCAAGTAGACAAACACCAGATGTTTTTGCCATACACAAATTATTGTTTTCAACATGCTTTGGTTGGGTTTTGGCTTGGGTTTTATTCCTCCTCCCTCCCCCAAAACAAAACAAAAAATCTGGACTTTTTGGCACGATCAGGGCCAAGACTAATAAATGTTTTGCTGGTTGCAGTAGTCCATTATTGAAGTACATTGGTTGCACTTACATTACTTATCCCTCCCTTTCAGAAGTAACAGTAAGCCTGGAAGCATTGCTAGGGTTGTGGCATTTTGTTAGACAGGCAAGTAAAAAATTTAGTTCTTAGAGGTATTACTGCTAGTCTTACTTATCTCTTAACTCTTGAAGTCCAGTCCAACTGATGTTAAGCTTCACGTAGCTGCCCAACTCTGAAACAAGTCACCCATTTCAGAAGATGCTGTCTGGGAACAGATAGATGTCCCACTACTGATTTGGGGGGTGGGAAGAAGAACAAAACCACAACTAACTCCCCCATCACCACCACAAAAAAAGGAAGCCTTAAATACTGAATAAGAAATAACACTATTTTTCTTTTAACATTTTCTGAATCTAGAAATCTCTCTCATACTACTCCAAGCACCATCCTTTCCATCATGAGGGCACAACACTTCAGTCAGATGGTTAAAGACCTTAACAGTTCAATTCAAGCACTGAGAGACTCAGTGCTTAAATGGTTAGCTTTATACACCACACGCTAAAAAGCCCAGAGTCATGTTTGCAATGTACTACTATAAAAAAACCTTATTCACTTGCAGAACTTCAAGGACAAGTTGGAGCAAAGTCAACTAAGGCATGTACTTAAGTCTGCCAACATAAGGCTGCAAAATATAAACACCACAATGTTAATATCAAGGTCATGCACGCATCAGAAGTGCATTAAGAACTTCAAAGCTATACCACACAGGAAAAAGATAGTTATGCTTGCCTTCATGAAACATTAAGAATTAAGCAACTATCCCCTAAATATCAAGATGAGTAAACAAATTATAACTGACCTTCTACAGGCTTTTCCCCACACCAGGAATTCAAGAGAAAGTGTCAGGTACTACATCTTTTAGTAAGAGCGCTTCCCTTTAAGTCTCTCCAAATGCATATTTGATGGTTAGATCTTTTGAGTTCGTTTAGTGGCTTTATTCATTCATTTATTTTTAAAGCATCATATTTAAAATGTAAAATAATTTTGTTCTCCAGGTCAGAATGGCCAAATAGCCAACATTTTTACTCATTTAAGTGTTCCATATGAATTTACCTTAAGTCATAATTTTGAAATTTTACAGTTATTCTATACAGAATACCTTAAGTTTTGTTTTTCAATGGTGCCATTATGGTGCAACATCTGGACCACTGTTTTAAGAGATAACTAACAGAGCTTCCATTTTAAAGCGGAACAGGTTTTGGTACAGGAATTGCTGCAAAACATTCAAGTGAAAAGAATTATACTAGAAATAAACCCCTTGAAACACAACGCTACAACGCCAGTATGGATGTATTTAATAGTATTTGAAGATTATGGGGAAGCTACAAGTGAAATACGAATCACTTCAGAAAACATCTTACACACAGGAAAACAAACCAGAAAAAAAATTACGATTCTTCAAGTTGACCTTCTGGAGAGAATTTGTACTTACTGATTTACAAGGAACTGAAAGGCCTGCCTTTTTTATTTTAAAATAAGATTAAAAAAAAGTGAAATAATTACAGGTCTGTCACTCAGATCTATTCTCATAGCTTGTTTACAAAGTTACATGAGTTAATACTGACTTCCTTTGCTCCCTTAGCATGTTTCCAAGCTCAGCCACAGAAAATCAAGTCTAAGTTAAGTATTCAAACAGATGTCTTAACTACTAATTTTAATATAACATCTCTTCAGATAAGCAGGTAAGTTCAAAATCTTGCCTTGTTTGGTTAGTAATATGCTGACAGTTTTGCAAGGACATACTAGCACACGTGGAACCTTAAGCTTTTGATTCTCCCGTAACTGACGTAACTTGAGGATTCTTCAATAGGATCTTTACTCCAGCCTTTATTTTTTAAGGTGAGAACTCTTAGTCATTCAGTAAGTCTACATCCATTACATATCCCAAATGACAGACATTAAAAATAAGAGTTGTATCTTCCCCCTGCTGCCACATTCACGGAAAGAATAATTCCACTCATAATTCTTTATTTTAAATTAGCCAATACCAAGAATTTCATGCAACATAAGGTCCACAGATTTAAGTACGTATTTTGCTCAGCATGTCTGCCAAACTTTCAAAGGTCAGTCTGAGACTCAATGCTGCATAAACAGTGTAATCTTCCCCGCCATGTTTGTTCAAGCAGCATTCGCTACTCTCACCAAATAATTTTATCCCTGTGCCATTCCAGTTATTTTAGATTACCTTTTATCCTTTGAAGAAAAATTTGTTTTAAATTGATATAAATATCTGCCTAGAGCAGGTTTTTTGTTTTTGTTTTTTTAAGTAGAAAAAGAACAAACAAAACACAGCAAACCCAAAACAAACAAAACCAACAAGTGTAAATACTTAGGCCTAGAAGAAAAAACCCATATCACTTGCTGGCTGACTTCAGATCTGACATGGTTTAAATCAGAATTCTCTTCCTACCCTCCAATATAAACAAATCTTTCTACAACAGGTAACAAACATAGTAGAGTTTACCCCTCTGCTTCTAACCAGCTCCCCACTATCCTGGTCTTTAGTTATCACCTATATATACACTCAGACCATCAAACAAGCTTCTGCACACATTTTATCAGCCACAGGACTGAACCTCATCTATACTCTAGGAAGATTAGAGTCAATTGTGAATTAGTTTCCCTTACGATTGTAAGCTGTAATAAAGAATGTTTACTTTTAAGTGCCCAGATTCAAGAATAATTTTCAGAATGTAACTACAGTAAGTCATCAGAATTGACTATTCCAGTTCCAGAAGTTCGCCAAAGCCAAAAGCTGACATCTTCATCTTACCAACAATTACATGAAACTGACAGTTTAAGTTCCAAAATTTTTCATAGACATTCAGAGTAAGTGCTCATAGCATTCAAACAGAGGAAGGTTTTTTTTTTTATGTTTACTTCATTTCTTTTAAATCAGTCCACCACCAACACTTCCCCCCCCCCCCCCCCAATTAGGTCCACCTAAGAAAGGCCGATAAAGAAAAGAGTATTAAAGACATGTACCTTCACTGAAGTACTGGAGCATAAGAGATTGTTAGTTGCAAGAAGTTACTCAGCAGCCTTTTTCCATAGTGTTTATTGCTAATTCATTTTATATAGCTTATTTCCAGGAGATGGGCAGCATAAAAACTGCAACATCTATTTTAAAAAATATATTATTCGTTACAATGCAACAGTCTCAATAATACCTTCTTACAGCTGCATCTTATCTAATTCAGAAATAAAACAATCCTAATCTAGTTAATTAAAAAGTTTTGTACCTAACCCTCAGAACAGTCAGCCTTCAGAAGTCAAGCAACTTTGGACCCAAAATTTACAATCACCATGTTTGATAATAACCCCGGAAATTCTCACTGTGCAAACTATCCTACTGAAACTATTTAACAGCTTTGTTATAAGTCAGTCGCATGATTACATCGGCATTTAGTCTCAGAGAAAGAATTGCTTTATTCTCCCTTACATAACTTTGATGTGAACTGTGAGTGCTCTGGAGATTCAGATAACTACTGCATTGCTTACTGAGCCTGCACACTAAATATACACGCCCCAACATATTAACACTTACAAGTAGCTTAGATACACAGTACATTAAAACAAAAATGATGAAAATTTACATCAAGCTGCCCAAACCCATGCTCGAACAGTTTCCCACCTAGTTCCAACTGCACAATCTTGATTCTAATAGCTGTACTCAGAAGTTTACTAAAAAACAAAGAAGAATGACACCATCAAAGTCTTTACCCATTCATTTTCAACAGTCTTAAATTTTTCCTTTGTCAGTAATGATTCTAGGGGTTGGTTTTTGTTTTGTTTTTAAACCCAACTTTAAATCTAACAACATACATTCTCCTTATAACATCCCAGAGGTAGCAGGAGGGAATATGAATCAAAAGATGCCAGATTCTAGAAGCTGCACATTCAAGTATAGTGTCATCCAAGAGAGCTTCCCTGGCTTTCACAGACTGCATGTCACCTCTAATCACGTATAGCAAATGAAAAGTAGAATCCCAAAATAAAGAACTATCAGCATTGGTTTACCAATAGAAGTTTCACACCCAGATACCTCAAAGTAATCTTGTTACTTAAGTAGTAATACTGTCAGTTTCAATAGTCAAATATCAAGAACTGAAGTATAAACTTAAAATTCATGAGTATCAATTTTTCTAAAATGCTCACATTTCACCTAAACACAGACACACACACAGTTACTCTAAGTTGATGTGCCACACTGTAAGGAAAGGTCCCAATTCAGTTCAAGAATCTGATATTCCCCCTCTCCCTCCCACCACCCAACTCAACAGAAGTGCTTACAGTAATAGAAAGCAAACAGAAGGGGAAAAACACAACATTTAACAAGTGCATCTATATACATTTTGCACCTTTTCCCTCCTTGCATCTAAAGTGAGCAGGTCACCACGTTCGCTATGCTTTACATGCACATACTCTCCACGTAGTACAAGTCCTATTCAAAGGATCTCTGCAAGCATCAACAGCAGTCATTCCACACTAACCAACAGATGCTTTTATTGTGGAGGCTGAAGTACATTTAAATATTCTGACTGGCCCAGCTGGTAGGTTGTGTTTCCTCCACAGTCCACATACTGGTATCTCTCCTGGGATATTTGCTCAGAGTGGCCGAAGTAAGAGGTTGTCACCGTCACTCTTAAAAAGACAAAACAGAAGAGATTTGCTTTGTAAGGGACTTCAGTTCCCTATTCTAGAGATTAGTGTTTCTACATTACTAGGGTTTTTAAGGAAAAAGTTCTGGAACAAAATATGTAACATTATTAAGAAGAAAATTTTAAATAAAGTTAAAACAATACTAGTTTACCACTTCAGATTTTCTCCATGAAAGACATGTGCTTTCCTGAGCACAGACTTTTTCTCCTAAAGATGATGGTAAAGCTGAGGTTTACTCATTAATACATTGCTTTCCAGGGAGAAAGCAAATGATGATTCGAGAAGCTACAGCCACAGTCGTTCTACACCTTCCCCCCCCTGCAAAACCCAAACACCCCACCATGTTGCTATTTATGCAGTCACAAAAAGCAGGCTCTGGCAGAGTACCAGGAGCCTGTAACCACTTGAAGATCATGAAGATCTCAGCAATTTTTTAACAGTGGCTGATATACAAACTCATTTCAAACTATGTGAGACCTTAGTAGCTCCATGGCTACAGTCCAGCTGCAGAGCAGATACAGTAGTAACAGTTCCACCTATTCAAGTGTCTTTACACTACCAGAACCTGTCAAAAGACACAGTTCAGTTTCAAGAACTATGAAGCTACTACACTAGAAAGCAAGTTGATTTCATTTTATCTATGATGCACAGACTCCAGAATTAACTATTTCTGAGTAATATTTCAATGAGAATTATATGGCTTTTAAAGTTGTTTCCAACAAATAGGAAGTTTCCATACTTACTGCATCATCACTACTATGTTATGCACTTTGATAGATGCTAAAGTACAGAAGTCACTGCAAAAAAGAAAAACAATTGTTATATTTGCATCAAGCTTTTACAGGTAATTATCTAAAAAGCAAGAATTGTGGCTTCAACTGGAAATCCTGCTGTGTATATAGAGACTATAGAGTTGCTAGCAATGGCAACTAAAATACTTCTTCAAAAACACTGCCTGTGACTATATACTCACCTAGGTCTACTTTTATATACATAGTCTTGCTTTCACGTGAATTATATTCACATGTGCTTGCTTACATGTAATGCTTGCCAACAAAAGCATTCTGTGAGACAGCGGTCACTCCATCTTTCAGAAGCTAACCAAAGTTAACTGGAACAACTACATTAAAGCATGTCAATACCGCTTCGTCACTGATAAAGACTTTTACTATGAAGGGATATAGACATAATTTGCAAATTTCACTTCATGTTATCAAATTTATACATAGAAATGAAAATTTACAACAAGAGATTAATGTTATGCCAACTTCAGCAGCTTTTCATGTAAAAGTAGCAATATCTATTAAAAAAAAAAGGCTTGAGGGCTTGGTATTCTTGCTCAAAAATATCAAGAACTTACGAAAGTCCCTTTTTTTTTTCCACTCATCCACTTTTGTATTACGCAAAGTGACCTTGAACCAATCTGCAGAGACTTTGAAGTTATTGTCAGATTTATTGTTTTCTTGCAAGATACCCTTTCAGACTTACATTTCCTGACATGCACCTACATACCAGTTATACAGAGCACTATGTAAGCGTATACTTTTTTCCCCCCTCCTTAAATCAGTTGCTCTTGGTCACAAATTTACCAGCTATGGAATGAAAGGCATGTGATCAGTGCAACAAGATTGCATGGCAGCCACCCACAATATTTGCATGCCATTGTCATTCTTTTCCCCAGCACCAACAAACATATGATGAACTATTAAAGAGTGAATGAACACAGGTGATTCAAATTATATGAAAATATGAAAAAAACAGTTCAGTATTAAAAGTTGTTTTATATTGGTATCTATAGTAATGACAAATATCTTGATTTTTTTTTCCTGCTATGCTTAAAACAGAATTTAGTTAGACCATAATGCCAGATATTCTCAGTTATTGTAGTTTTCTAATCCAAAAATACAGACAACCTGTAACATAATATAAAGCAAGCTCGTATCCAACAGCACATACCGGCTGACAAGCAGAGAGGTACAACACCAACATACTATTTTTTTAAGTCCAGATTATCTGGAAATAAATCTGTTTAAAAAACCCCAAAACATACAAACCAACTAACCACCCCCCCCAAAAAACAAACAAACAAACAAACAAACAAACCCAAACACGCCACAGCACAAAACCATAGCTAGGAAACTACACTGAAGGTGAACTCCACATTGAGCCAGCTCTCTAAAATAAATGGGTGGAAATGCCCTGTATGATGCTGATTTCATCATACAGGTCTGCTGAATCCAGATGACTGTATGCAGACACTTCAGGTGTCTAAGATCTCCTGTATTCAACCTAAGCTGATTTTACAGGACACCTGCTCTCCAGAATCCAAACAACTAGCTAGTTATGACTAACACAAGGCCTAAATTGACTAGCTGGGGAAACACTGAAATGTGTTCCTATCTCTACAATACTATCTGTATTACAAAGATTATCCCAGGGCCTTCACTGGAAAGTTAAGTATTTGTATATGGAGGAAAAGCCCAAACACAGTAACAAATACAAAACCCCACTAAGACCAGCTGAAGCTATGTTGGCTGGGTGTTCAAACTAAGGAAGCTCACTTGCTGTCTCCAGGGTTGCTCCATACAGCAAACACAGGCTTTCAAGACTCACAATACAGTGAAAGAGCAGAAACCATCAACAACAATAACTGTCCACAGGTCAGGGAGGTCAACTAATACCAACTGTGTAACATACAGAAAATCTGAAGAAAATGAAAAGCTATAGTTTTGTGTGTGGCTCAAATTCTGTTTAGTACATTTTAAACACATCACAACAAAGCTAGTGGGTGCTACTTACAAGTAGTAGGACTTTGCTGTATTAGTACGTACAAGAACTTAGATCCTGAATTGACACAAAATTCTAGTTATGGGTCTCTTATTACCAGTTATAGCCCATACTTAGTGTCACTGTGCTGAAGCAATGAATATTCACACATGCGTACAAATCACCTATTAGTCTGTTCTTCTAGTAACATTCACAAACACTTGCAGTCCCGAAGGAGGGCAAGTCCACATTACAGACTACTGGTGCTGATACATGACAGTTTCTCTGCCTCTACTCCAAGACTGCACAGTCTACCTCCAAGCTGGACCAGCGAGCGCATCATTTTTCCACACTATTGCCAAGGCTGCAGCTATCAAGCAGAAGAGCCTGAAATCCATTCAGTTCAGGCCACAGGCAGAGCAGCTTTTACCTGTCCGCATCTCTCTACACATCCAAAGTCATCCAGGTTTTTCTAAGGATAGTCACCAGCTTGCAGTTAAAAGTTGCAGCTATTGTCGGGAACAGACTCTCAACAGCATTGCTGAAATTAAGGCCACAGTACTGACCATGAAAGAAGTTTCAATGCATTATTGCACCAAACGCACAACTAGGTAGGTATCAGCATGAGTTCTATGAAGGCCACATTTATTTATTCCTCATGCATCCAAAGGGTGAGCAGATTCACAGGATTCAGTGTTTACATAAAGCTAACTTACGTGCCTTTAAGAGGTGACAGAATCACAGAATCATTAAGGTTGGAAAAGACCTCTAAGATCATCGAGTCCAACCGTCAACCCAACACCACCATGCCCGCTAAACCATGTCCCTAAGTGCCACATCTACATGTCTTCTAAATATTTCCAGGGATGGTGACTCAACCACTTCCCTGGGCAGCCTCTTCCAATGTTTAACCACGCTTTCAGTAAAGAAATTTTTCCTCACGTCCAATCTAAACTTCCCCTGGCGCAACCTGAGGCCATTTCCTCTTGTCCTATCACTAGTTACTTGGGAGAAGAGACCGACACCCACCTCGCTACAGCCTCCTTTCAGGTAGTTGTAGAGAGCGATGAGGTCTCCCCTCAGCCTCCTTTACTCCAGGCTAAACAACCCCAGTTCCCTCAGCCGCTCCTCCTAAGACTTGTGCTCCAGACCCCTCACCAGCCAGAAGTACAACACTTTCTGCTTATTTAAAGTTAGTACCCAATTTGCTATTTCATACCTATTTCAATTTATTCCAACACTTCAAATCTGTAATATTCGCTCCCATCCCAAAGGGGTTGGCATCCACTGGAACTACACACAGACCTGAAGTCTAAGTAGTTAACTCTTTCTGTTCAGTCTGCATTTCAGTGTAAGAGAAGTAACATTTGGGTTTATTACCAAGATATACTGAGCTAATAGTCTGTTGGTCAAATGAACTTTCAGAAGCTATGAATAAAACAGCTGAAAGTTTAAAGAAAAGGCTGTAAACACTGCTTACCATTGTATACACATGGTCTGAAGAAAATAAATACAAATTAGCCCCTAATTTGTATAGAATTAAACACAAATTCCCTCTACCGCCAGAGAAATTTGTGGGAAAGTTACTAGGGAATGTGTTAGGGCACACACCTGCACTTTCGTCCCCCAAACCAGCAGGTCCTAGCTATTGCTAAGGCCTAAAACATTGGGATAGAGATACCATTCAAAGTGCTGAGAGCCGGGTACAGCAAGCCACTAAATAAAACTATTGAAACAACCACCGTTTAAGTATTTTTCATTACTATTGAACTCACACAAAGAAAATGCCACAACAATTTGCCTCTGTAAATTAATTTCCTCTGGCTTTGAAAAAAGTCGTTTTTAGCACCATCGTAATTTTTAATAAGACCCATGGGATATTTAGAGATGAGTACACTTACAACATGTAGCTCATTTCATCTTGTATGACTGTGGGCACCATATAGTCAATCTAAAAAAAAAGCAAGGAAAACACAAGTGAGCAGATTTATATACAAAGATTAACATGTATTCAACTTCGAAAGCATATCCTATTTACCTGTTTCATATCCAGAGGACCAATGTTGGTGATGTTGTTTAGCCGTGCTTTGCCAATAACTGTTTTTGAAAACTGAACTTGGGCTGTGATATTTGCCACTTCAACAGAGTAATAGTTGTTGTTTGTTATATTTAATGTGTTCTGAAAAACAAAACAAAACACTAACAGCTATCCATTCTGCATATCTTTATGAGCACACATTTTTAAATTTGTGTCTGAGACAGTAATACCTAAAATTATGCAAGTATATTTTCCTGCCTTCTAGGATTGGGGGGAAGGGACCATCACTTAACCCCTTTCTCTTTTTTTTTTGCAAACATATCGAACAGCACAAACTTCTGCACAACTTCCCTCCACTGCAAATACTGACCATTTCTTCCTATCCTCAATTATTCCTTCCAGGAAATTTAGCTATCATAGGGTCCTTTTCTCCCATGGCTGCTTTGCTTTATTTAAAATGAGGAACTCTACCAAAAGTCTTTAGGCAATCCTGTATTGACTGCATTACCAAGAAATCAAGAAGCACGTGGAAAGAACTCCTTTAAGTTTTAAGGTGGATAAGATATCATTTTTCCTCAAAACCAGTTGACAAATGCATAATACCAGGACAGCATTTAATAACATTCCTACATACACACACACGACATTTCACCCATATTCCAAAAGTAACGCAGAGAACTCCGAAGTCACTGTTCCTATGAAAACAGAAGACCCAATGGCAGCTTGCAACTACACCTCTATTAGCTATAGCTACAGGAACCAGCCACAGCAGGTCCAGTTACATTTTTCAAACCGGTCACTGTATCTGCTTGTATTTCTTAAGGTACTAACTAAGCTTACCAGTTAGACCACAATTTCTATGTATATTAAACTGTCACAGTAGCACCTCTTGTTGCATTTATGCATTACAAACATCCAAACAGATAGCTAGACTTACCGTAATATTTAGATATATTATACGTCTACCCTGTTCATAAGTGACATATACTGACTTCACACCAATGTATTCAACATCGATTGAGCGAGGAAACAGGAAGAATACAGCCAGCCCAGAAAGTAGTAAACATACAATTACAGAAGCAGTCACGTAGAGCTTTCTGGAGGAAAAAAGAGCACATTTCAGTCTCAAAAGCACGTTAAACAATAGTGGCATGTTATTTTCTTTTAAGTGATAAGGAGCATGTCTAGTCAATACAACTAGTTCAGTCTACTTCTACCTTCCATTAGCTTCCAAAGGGGAAGAAAAAGCTATGCTGCACTTCACGTCTATGTCTCAAACAGAGATGTTACTCTTGTATATACATCAGAAATCAAGTTCCAAAACATGTGGTTATCCCAACATTTGTAACTTAAAGAGGAAAAAGGAAGAGGTAAATATTTATGTGCTTTGAAACATAAGCACTTCCCTCTTAAAATTTATTTATAGCAGAACTTTTGTCATTCTGCAGGACCACAACACACCCAGAAAGAAGAATAAAGCTCTTGTATGCCTTACATGAGATTCTTTGTCATAAAAGACTTTCACGGAAAGTGTTAGACACCTGCTAAGGAACAGGAAATTCACAATTAACCTAATATAAAAGGGGTGTGTGCGTGTGTGAGAGAATTAAAAAAATACACAAATAAAAGGCTCTACTACAGCTCAAATTCTCTCAAAATTAGAACACTAAAGTAGTATGTTTCAAATTTGTACTACTATTACATCAGATATATGATCCAGGATAGTATTATGTGAAGTTACTGTATTTTTTTCCCCTGGTACTCATTTCTGTTTACTACAGAAACATCCAAACATTAAGAAAAAAACCAAAAAGTGTCAGAACAAGAAGCCCTGAGCACTGTAATTAAACCTTTAAGTAGATCCTAGGGAAAAAAAAAAATTCTATATCAGAGTGATGAATTTGTTGATTCTGCTGGCTGCTCAGAGCTTTACAAATGAATTTCTAGGCGACTTACTTTGTAGTAGTGGCCCAAAGAAGTTATCACTTTACTCAGACTTTAACACCGAAGTTATATCTGCTTAGATCAATTAAGATGCTACAGAGTGATAAATTCTTGCATAATTACTGTAGACATTCAGATAAGTATCTACATGAAGAGATCATACAGTGTTACTTAGCTTCATAAGACATACTGTGATGGGAGTATGCACACCTGTTAATACATAACTCTCCAAGTGTTAGAGGTTAAGGTTGATATTACTCACAAGCAGGGTTCTTTCAATACTGAATGCAAGAAAACATTCCAGTAATACTTGCTTGATTCTTCTTGACACTATCTACTTTAAATTGCTGAATTTTAACTAGGAGAGAAGAATTAACTCTAGATTCATGTATCACAACTATTAACTTACGTTCTTCTTGGCCTCAGTCTCTGATCACTGTATGGAATTAACGCTACCAGCTGATTTTCCTGCCCTGGAAACAAAAATACCCTTTCAGAATTTAGACAAACAAAGATTAAGTATTGTTGCAGTCGCTTCAAACAAAGAGCACCCATTATAACTTAAGGGCAGCAAAGAATAAACACTGAAGATAAACATTTAAATTCCAGCTAGGCCCAAGTAGAATACTTCTGTAGCTTATGTCACTTTCTGAAATAGATCATGGCTTACACAACACAGAGGAAAGAACACCAAGCCCTCACAGACCAAAACAGCAACAAACTCTGCCTCTGTGCTGCATACATGCACAGGAGGCAGCATGCCTCTCGCACCATTTCCTCGAGAGAAGCGGAGGTACGTAACAGCTTCCAGCTCTCTATGCCAGACCATATAAAGTCATAGGAAAAAACATTCAGAAGCTTGGGCAGTAAGAAATGATCCAGAAGGCATTCTACATGCACTCTTCTGAAAAGCAGAAGTCAGGTTTGTTTAAGAACAAATACATGCATCAATTTGGGTGGTTTTAGCAACACAAGTTATATATACACTGCATTCGGGAAATCACTCGTATATACAACCATTTCTCATGGGACTGAGCTGCAGCACCCTGGAAGCCAAAAAAGTATCTACTGGAATTTCTCCAAGCAACAAGTTACTTCACTAGACAGCGTTTTTAAAAGGGAGATATCTTAACCGTAGAAATAAAAAAACACAAGCACAGATGAGCTGTTGAAAATACATGGACTACATCTGCCTTTACAGCTTTTGCTCTTTGCCGTGCAAGAAAACGGAATTGAGACTCATCCGTATGAGAACAGAGAGGCCTCAAGATGAAGTTTGATTTGCATTTTTTAAGCCAAATGCAGAATTTGACCAGCATTATCACTCAGCTAATCAACCACCTAGAAGTGATTCCATGCTGAATCACTAAGCTGAGCAAAGCATGCTAAGCAGTTAGTAGTAACATCAACCTTCTAAAAAACCTCTATCAGTTTAAAACAGATTTTCATCTCAGCTTCAATGAAGCATCTTCAACCTTTGAACAAAACAGCACAGTCCTACTTTCATACTTTATCATGCTGAAAAGCTAAATCTGTCCAAGTAGCGAAACACAATTTCACGTGTTTACTTTACAGTTTAGCCATCACATCACGTGCTACAGTATGCCCTACTAGTCATACAGTCATTCTGTGAACACTTAATTTTTCCCCTCTCCCCTTAAAAAGCTCCAAACATGATTTCCCCCCCTCCCCCAAAGTACTGAGGAAAAATTAAAAAGATCGTCCTACTTGTTCTAATAACTCATGTAAAGCTCTAGCTTTAATCACATTATTTCATTAGAATGTATGGACACCATGCATTGTTAATAGTTACTGCAAAATGTTTAATAAATTAACTAACTCACATTTGTCTAAGTATTATATACAAGAATCCTATAGTCAAAGAAATAAGCTTTTGAACATAGGAATCCCGCTATTACTGCATTTTAGCTAGCACTATTTTGAGTAAAACTTGCCATTGATATTATCAAGTATTTCAAGGCAGCAAGCTAACAGAACAAACTTCCTTCTCTATAGTCTTTCAGTTAAGATAATTTTTAGTTGCATAGCTTTTCCACACTTCAAATTTGCTGAATTCAGAGGTACTCAAAGAATACATCATAGTATAAGGTTTAACAGCTAAAACAGAAATCTCTTCCGGTATTTGCAACTGTTTAAATATCCTGTGCCCCCTGCCACTTATTTGCTGGTGAGACAGAAGTATGTGAAATATACCAGAACCTAATCTGACTGAAGCACATGTACAAGGACAATATGGCACAGACATCAGTCAATTTTCCTGACCTCCTGGTCAAAATCAGTTCTGAGAGCTTTTAACACCCAATAATCTATTTTGGATAAGAGTTCTGGCAAAAGCTGTGCTTCCCCCCACCCCCAGCTTTATATGCTGAGCATGACATCATATGGTATGGAATATCCCTTTGGTCAGTTGGGGTCAGCTGTCCCAGCTGTGTCCCATCCCAACTCCTTGTGCACCCCCAGCCTACTCGCTGGTGGGGTGGTATGAGAAGCAGAAAAGGCCTTGACTCTGTGTAAGCACTGCTCAGCAGTGACTAAAACATCCCTGTGTTATCAACACTGATTTCAGCACAAATCCAAAACATAGCCCCCCATAGCATACTAGCTGCTATGAAGAAAATTAACTCTATCCCAGCCAAAACCAGCACAAGTACCAAACATGAAACCTCATCAGTCCCTCCCCACATCAAAGGGAAGATCTTACAGCTGAAACAGAAGGCTGTGCCCTGGCACACTGCATTTGCCACTCTCTTCTTTTGCCCAGTTTCAGATATCCTGCATTCTCCTTTCAAAGGTCTGTTCTAAATAGCTATTCAGGTGGCTTATCATATAGGAGAGAAGTGTAATAAAGCTGAATGTTTTATTAGAAGAACAGGAAGAGCAAAGGATGAGGGCAGCAAGCAAACAAAACAGTTAGGCATGAAGACTAATGCTGTGCAGCCTACTCCTTCCTGAGACAGCCCGAGATCCTATATATTTTCAACTCCCAGCTGGGGTCCTCTGCCTAGCAGGGACAAAGGAAGGGCAAAGGAAAATGAGGGGCACTGACAGCAGTGAGGGCAGAAAATTCACTATAAATGATATGGGAAAACATGTTGTAGCACAGGTCTACTTTTCACTCTCTGTATTTGCAGCTATTTTTCCAAAGTTATCTATTGATTCAAATAGTTTAAAATAGGTAGTTAAAAAAATGCAATAAAATGTCACAAAAATAAAGGTTTGCAAATTCAACTTGCAAGAGCTAGAGTTATGTGCAAATTTAAAGCTGAGAAGCAAGTAACACTGGCATTGTACAGACAAGAGAAGACCCAACAGGTAACAGCCAAAGCTGACTCAACTGGTTTCATTCATCCAGTGTAATCACAACAAACTGCTTAGTGCTAAAAAGTAAAAAAGATGAAAAAACTTCGTCTTGACTAAGAGAGCTATTTGTTATGGATTATTACAGTTACAGCTGCACATGGTTATGAGGTAAATTTATAGGTTAAAAAAAGAAATAAAGAAAACTTACCTCGTGGAATTCTTCCTGTTCCCTGGCAAGTCGGGCAGGTGACGCTGTCTCTTCCTGTAAATTCCACATAGGGAAACTGCGATACATCTCCACATCTGCCATCTTCATTGTGCGACTCTGAGTGAACTAACCCATTCCTCATATTATCAGACACTGTGCCTCCATCATAGCCATCTTCCTTACATGTGTGCATAGGCAGGTGAGAAAGTGATTTTCCCATGTCTAAAATAAAAGTCAGAAGAAAGCTTTCAGGGAGAAGGATTCAAATATGGCTTGCATTTATTCCTCCGCGTTAGGTAACTGCTAGTCTATGGTCATTACTCTGACAAGACTCCCGTTGCCCTCTGTTCAGATCCCTTAAGACCTGCAAAGTGCTAAGGCCCTGTCAAGCTGGCGTCAACCCCAAGCTGTAAGAACCTGAACTAACTGGGAGCTTTGCTCAGATCTTCCAATACGCACAGGTTGAAGGGGGATTGATGAGAGGCTTTTGCGTTAGAACAGTACAATTGCTGGCAAAAGGTTGCAACAGTTTAGCAGTGCTTTTCAAAGGATTGTTATTGTACAGACTTTCACACAACACATTAAACTTTGTGTAAAAAAATTCAAGACTGGGCTCTAGAAAGCAAGTTTGCAATTTTCAGTGGATTCTACACACACTACAGACCCAATTCTAATAAGCTTTTTAGGTTGGACTTGTTTTGAGAACACAGGATCAGCTACTAGTTTCCAAGCTAAAATTATAAATCTTCAGGTGTTTATAAACTGATGATTCCCTTTAACCCAAAAGAGGGCTGATTCACAGGAGAGTCAAGCAAAAAACAGGAGTTACTTTAACATAGCTGCTGGTAATATGTAGCATTTATAAAGACTCGTTAAAAATGAAGTATTACTCACAAAAGCATTTTTGCTACCTATGCAAATTTTAAAATTTTCTCATTACTGTAGCTTTTCAGCCATGACACTGAAACTACCTTGAAACACAGAACACTTGAAACTAATGGCTGTAATGAAGTGCAAATGGAAATCTTCCTAATTTGCAACAGGTGGAAAACAAACTCAAAGTTAAAAAAATAAATCTGTACAGCAGTGGTAATCAGTTGTCCAGCTTATCCCCATAACCCATTTTAGTTACTTAACACACAGAGACACCAGCCACTCAATTCACCAGTGTCTTGGGGAACAGGATGATTTAAAAAGCATATGCAAAACTTCAGTTTTTCCATTGTAAGTGGCATTTTTAAAGCAGCTGCTAGTAATCACCATGCTGATTCACTGAGAAAGGAAGCCCTAAGAGGAAGATTAAGAGAGCTAACCAAGTCAGAATATTTTAAACCAACCACTCAGAACAGAAAGATCTCGGATATGGTGAGGGTAACACGAGCACAACATGAATTCGTTATATTGCCACAAAGGCTAGGTAAATGTAGGAGGGGAAAAGTAATTTGACAAATGCCAACAAGTCCCAGTTACTGTTTCAGCAAATATGCAGCATTATTTTATTCATTTAAGTCACTAAACCCTTACAAGAAGGAGAACTATTTATCCTCATGCTGCTACAGCACTGTTTAAACATTTTAAGTTTGGGAGCCGTTCAGTAACGGAAATTGTTGAATTGAAAAATTAAAACTATTGAACTGTTGAAAAAAATTTTCTGAAAAAGCTGTTGACAATGTTGACGATTATTCCACGTTGTGGTTTTGCTTGCTGTTCTCCTTGTAGCTGACCTACAGTCTTTACACTATGAAACTTCAGTCTTGCAGCTTAGGCAACAGCTGTCACAGTTATCGGTCTGAAAGCTTAAGGATCAATCACTGGTGCTGTTGTGCTACAACTGTATTCAACTTACCTGCTCCACCGGTGGTAGGCTCAGACTATGTCTACATTAACAACCAAATACAGAACAAGCAGCAACTCTATAGAAATAAACAGTTATTGAGGATCCAACATCCACACTATACAAGTTTTTGTGTGTTTACTTCATACTAGCTCTTGTCTAGACTGACAACACCCACTGACAACTGAAGCGCACCTTCTAGTTTTAGCTTCTTCCAAAATGAAAAAAAATTATGCACTCCCAGATCACACTGTGACGTGAACCAAAGTGCAGCAAGCAAGGATGACCGGGAACTCATTTCAAGAGCACACTCTTTATCTGAATTAAAATACTAATGCAGATGTATTCTCCAATGCCAACTGTACCTGAGCTTCAATAATTAGAATTTAATAGTGTTGTTCTACTGCCACTTAGGAGACATATCTCAGTTCACTAATGAGAAAACAGACAACCACCTCGAAGTGAAATGTGTTCCTCCAACATGCTCCCCCCCAACCAAGCACTGAACCTTATTACAGCTGACCAAAACTCAAGAACACTTTGTTCTTTTATCCAGCACTTATATGCTGAACAGTAGTAGTTCTGAGAATATATCATCTTCATATGTGACAGCCTCTATACTGTCACCAAAGTCACAAACCCTACTTCCTTAACAGCTATGCTTTGACCCAGTCTCTCCCTCGTAACTGATGTATACACTCCAGTCTCCTTGGACTTGTCTGGAGTTTCCTTGAACTCACAGTCTGTTAGAAAGAGTTTGGTAAATTAAAAAATGTTGTGGTAAGTGGCTTTTGTTTAAGACATGCCCTTCAGCTTGCTATAGCACTGCAGCATGATAGTACATAGATAAAACCCCAAAAATGTCCTAGGCACACAGAACCACCACATTCTGAGTTACATGCAAGACTCAGGAGAAAAAACTTTTTGCTTATCAACTCAGTGAAACTTTACATGGAGTTAAACTAGATTATTCTTCTTCTCCAAAGAGCTGGGGTGGTATTCTTACCCCTTATACGCAAATATATAAACTTGAGGTTAAAAATCTACTTCTTTTTCAAAACAGCAAAAGGTTTTTAAGCGCGACCATCCTCTGCCCTGTCAGCTGTAGCTTAATCACAAACACCGCAAGCTCCTCCGAAATAGAGAAAGCTGCAAGATAAAGCGATGACTTGGCAGTCACAAGCTCACTCAGCACAGGCAGGCATCTCCAGTGCTGCCTTTCACGACCCCTTCAGAGACCCACCTCTCAGACACAGCCTGCTCGGTAAAGCTGGCGCTGCCAAAAATACAAGGGTCAAGAACCTCCTTGAGATTTACGGGTTTTCTCGCCAGCCAAGCCAGAGCGGCAGCTGCTCTC